ATGACAACATATTCTCACGGCAACTGGGCTTATTAGCATCTTAGTGGATATTCTTTTTCATGTATTTTATTATTTTATTTGCCTGAAGTATGCCAGCCATTTGAATCTCAGAGGCCACGCATTAACCTACAGCTACCATCTAAACTATCACAAACTGCTGTTCTGAATACTGATTGTTCAACAGTGTTAAGCTCAAGGAGCAGATCAATGCAAAGAATAGATTACTTTGTATTATATTTAGCTATGTCAATATGTTATATCTAGCATTCACTGTGCATTTCTGTAACTTTCTGAAATATCTGTAACATTCCAGTTCCTTACAGTGACTTTGGAGTCTTATTACATATAGTGAACAAATATTATCATGAAAATTCCCCAAATATCTCTTCTGCATTCACCTGTCATGCTTTTGCTTGCTATCAAAAAATCACATGGAATGTTTATAAAGGATGTTATGTGCTGAAGACGTATAAGTTGTTTCCTTCCATGTAACAGACATGCACACTGACAATTGATTCCTGAGAAGACTATTGACAATAAAATAAGTATTTCACTGAAATAAAACCCAATGCATGTTCAAGGTTTATAGACATTCTATTAGATATAATTCTATATAAAAATGAATTCACACTGTTAAATTTTCAGATGCAGGAAAAAAATAACTGAATGTTTGTGGAGATTTTAACTGGTAGCAAAATACAGGTAGAAGCCCAAAAATTACTTCCATGCGTAGATACATTTCTATAGGACTTTGGTTTACAACCTTATTCATGTAGGAGACTAAGACACTATGCTGCTGTTAGAGAAAATAGATTTATTGTTCACAAAGAACTACTGCTGAGGAATGTTAAAGTCACCTTTAAATCAGTAGTATTAGAGAAATGTAAACTAAAATCTTGTGGCAAAAGTTATTCCAGGTAATCATAATAAAATAAATCAGCTATCAATTCCAAATAATGTGCTCTATCTTTTCACTAGTAAAACATTTTGATTATTTACACACTGAATAGAAATATCATCCTTAAAAAAAAAAAAAAAAATCTTTCCAATAATGACCTAGTTCAAGGAAAAGGAAAAGAAAAAGGAAAAGGAAATGGAAATGGAAAAGGAAATGGAAAAGGAAAAAGCTGGACACTGCTCTGAAACATGGACACTCACAACTCCTTGGTGCCAGATGGATTGCATCCTGGAGTGCTAAGGGAGTTGGTGGATGTGGTTGCCAAACCACACTCCATCATCCTTCAACAGTCCTGGCTAACTGGGAATGTCCAGGTGGACTGGAGACTGGCAGATATGAAGACCATCTTCAGAAAGGGCCAGGAAGATGATTCTGCTAGCTACAGACCTATCTGTCTCACCTTGGTGCCATGGAAGGTCATGAACCGGATAATCTTGGGAGCCACCATGGATCAATTAAAGGTCAGCCATGGGATCAGGCCCAGGCAGTATGGGTCTATGAATGGAAGATCCTGTCTGACAAACCTGATTTCGTTCTATGACAGGGTGACCTGCTTAGTGGATGATGGTAAGGCTGTTGATGTGGTCTTCAGTAAAGTCTTTGACACTGCCCGCCACAGCATCCTCGTGGAGAAGCTGGCTGCCCCATGGTTTGGATGGGCATTCGCTCTGCTGGATGAAACATTGGCTGGATGGCCAAACTCAAAGAGTTGTGGTCAGTGGAGTTAAATCCAGTTGGAGGCCAGTCACGAGAATTGTCCCCGAGAGCTCTGTTCTAGGTCCACTTCTATTTAACATCCTGATTAATGATCTTGATGAGGGGATGAGATGACTTACCCTCAGTAAGTTTGCCGATAACACCAAGTTGGTAGGGAGTGCTGTTCTGCCAGAAGGGGGAAAGGCATTACAGAGGGACCTGAATCGATGAGCCAAGGTACACTGCATGAGTTTCAATAGAATCACGTGTCAGGTCAGGCATTTTGGTCACAACAATCCCAGGCAACCCCAGGCTTAGGGAGGAGTGGCTGGAAAGCCGCCTGACAGAAAGGGACCTTGGTGTGCTGATGGACAGCTGGCTGAATATGAGCCAGCAGTGTGCCCAGGTAGCCAAGAAAGCCAATGGCTTGTATCAGGAATGGTGAGCATTTGAAATCTGTAAGTAAACCAGGAGATGATTAGACAAGCTGTCTGGAATTTGAGGACAGTCAGTTACTGATAAACCATGATGACAGATAGCCAACAATGCTTTCAAAATATCAGTGTGCTTTCAGAATTGTTTTCAGGCACAATATTTCTAAAGACCTATTCTTATGTTTCTTATCTGTCACACTGGTCCTTGTAAAATGCTATTGAGATTGTGGTTTGCAGCCTTTAACACATCAGCTAATGTAATTTCGTACTATATAACTAATATGCATTTAATTTCTGGTTAATGCCTTTGAATTACAGTAATAGCACTGAGGACCATTACTGCTGATGGGCACAGAGGCTGGACACATGGGCAGCATGAAAGAAATATAATAGATGTATGGGCTTACTTAGCTACTGTCAAGGGCAGAGACACTACGATAAACATTAAACTTTACATGAGTACCAATCTAATTTTTTAGTCCATGTTATCGTAAATACTGCAAAGTTGGTTACGTAGAAGACCTGTGCTTCAGCTTTTTCACATTTCTCTAGCTGCATGCATAATTAGACTTCATGCAGGTTGAACATTGGATGGTAGAATGATCTTGGTAGAACTTAAGTGGCCATTTGTCCCCTGAATAATGGAAGTAGGCTTTTAAAACAGTTCAATGAAAGGTATGAACTCATATTTCTACATCCACTAATACAGCATAATAGACGATTTCTATTTAACTTATTTTTTTAAATTGCTGTGATACAAAATGTGCCTCAAAGTACAGTTAGTAAATCTTCAGGCAAGCTTGGAGAAATTTAATACATATATAATACATGATGCATACAAAACAACACAACGTCTTGTGAAGCGTTAAAACTGGACTTGGACTTCCATTCATTTCAATACTGTTCAAAGAAACATTAAAAAACACTTAAAGAGTGACAGTAAACATGAGAATGAGGGGATGGCTTCAGGAATGTAAGCAAGTATCTTTTCTAATCACAGCTAGATAATTCTGATGACTTCTTCATGCTCTCTTTTTTCCTGTTATCTCAGTTCTGTTTAAGCTAGCTAAATATCAAGTAACCATTGAATCTGAGCAAGCTCTACTAATTCAAGTGAAGAGTTATACAACGACTACTGTACCTGTTACATTTAGTAATGCATTCTTATATGTCAGTATATGGCAAGTTTCTGTGAAGAAGAAACCAAATTCAGCACTTGTATTAAGTAGCTCAAATGTTCAGCAAAGACTCAGTATAAGAACATTGGCATATACATTTACCATTCCTTTAAACAGAGAAAATTAATATTAGGAAAATGATGTTCTCAACCTCCCTTTATTTCTGTATTTGATCTTAAGAAAACTAACACTAACTCTTTCTGTTATCGTAACTCCAACTCACATATTTCACAGAGTCACAGAACTGTAGGGTCTGGAAGGAACCTCTAGAGATCATCTAGTCCAACTTCCCTACCAAAGCATGCTCTCTTGACCAGATTTCACAGCTAGGCATCAAGGTGTGTCTTGACATTTCCAGAGAAGGAGACTCCACAGACTCTCTGGGCAGCCTGTTCCAGTGCTCCTTTACCCTTACTGCCAAGAAGTTCTTATGCACGTGTGTGTGGAACATCCTGTGCTTCAGTTTGTGGCCATCTCCCCTTCTTTTATCACCAAGCACTGTTGAAAAGAGCCTAGCCTTGTCTGTTTGCCTTCCTCACCTTAGATGTTTATAGGCACTGACCAGATCCCCTCTGAGTCTTTTTTTCTCAAGGCTGAACAGCCCTAGGTCGCTCAACCTTTCCTCATAAGGAAGGTGCTTCAAGCCTTTTATCGCCTTTACGGCCCTCCACTGGACTCCTTCCAGGAGATCCCTGTCTTACTTACCTGTGTCACTTTATGTCTTTGCTAAAACAAGCAACCTAACAACAGTAACAATGACAACAACAACAACAACAGTAATTATAATAATAACAGCAATAATAATTCAACATAGCAAACGTTGCACTTACCATATATAAGGCTGGGATGCAGTTCTGCATATACTGGAAATCTCACTTGCATCTTGCCTTCACAAGATCTCCAGAATTTTAGAATAAATATGGCAGCATAAACTCAGTTGAAGAATTCAGGAGGAATTTCTGATGCTACAGTAATATTCCCACAAGACAGTCAGGATATCATCATTATTTTTAATGAATATTCATATTGAACTTCCAGCTCACAAAAGATGCTATCGTTATTTCCTGAAAGGTGGTGGGTTTTTAAACATATTATGACACTTTTTGCCTTTCAAAAGATGTACTTATAAAAATATCTGCATTATTCAGTTCTGATCAGATCCATATGAATACTGTATGCATAATTCCACTCTAAAATAGAAGTTTTCCAGTAGTGTAAACATATCATTCTGAAGAGTAATTAGATACAGAAAATAAAATACAATCAATGTTGAGAACTTACAGAAGTGCAGATAAACAAGCGCCCATGACGGTTTTCAACAGATGGTTAGAAAAAAATCAGAATAGCCTTCTAGATTTTCTCTTCTAGGTTCAGAATATACAATTACAGTTTTTATAATTCAAACTGAGAAAAATATAGAATCAAGAAGGCTTCAGCAGATCAACAATCATCCTTTAAAATAATTCTGTAAACACATAAAAGCATTTTATTCAAACTTAGACACAGTTCCAAAAATCCTTTTTTGTCCTCTCTGTAATCATATATACTTGTTTATTTGCTAAAAATCTAACAGTGGATTTTTTTTTTTTTTTTCCCCAGGAGAAGACCGCCAGAAGCTGCGGCGCGGCTGCGTGTCGAGCCAGTCGTTGTTGTTTTCGCGGTCTCCGCTCCCCCCTCGTGGCCAATAGGTGGAATTGCGGCCGTGTTTGTTCGGCGCCGCAGGCACCAGGGCGCATGCGCAGAGGCACGCGGCGGTGTTGTTCCTCGCTCTACGCAGCAAATCCGCCGAGCTTTGTTATGGTTAGTCCTCGAGGCAACAGAGCGCATGCACCAGGACACTCATAACTAGCATTCAAATCTACAAAGCCTCTAGGTGCATGCGAGCAGTCGATTCGTGGAGCTTGCTTCGGGAACAGACTATTCTGACTCCTAGCGGCCCCTGCGCCCCTCGCGCGCGTAATGAGGAGTCGAAAACAACGCACGCGTAGGTGAGTACTCGAAATTAATCATGCGAAATAACCTGCCGGGCCGGGGCTGTTCGCCTCTCTGTTCGCTATTACGTGGAGGACTGAGGACCATAGAGAGGCGGCGGATTAGCTGAGTAGAGCGGTTAGAACGGCACTTCCGCATTTTATACGCGCATGCGTTGTGGTGCTTGCGGGACGCAGCGGCCGTTCCGCGCATGGGCCAGGAGGTGGCAGCAGAGACCGCGGAAAGAACTTTTCCGATGGGACTGGGGGAGCGGCGGCGCAGTGCCTGGCGATCCGGTGTGTGTGCTGTGAGAACGGGAGAGGAGCACGAAGTTAGAAGTGGAGGGGTTGTGGGGGGAAAGACGAAGAAGAAAGAGGGAAACTACTCCAAACCCAGGAGAGCTGTGCCAAGTGCATATAAATAGCTTTAAAAAAAAAAAAAAAGTTTTTTTCTTTTTTTCTTCTTTCTTTTTGCCAGCCTCTGTTGCATTGTTTCTAAATGTTGAAATACCAAAATGCAACTGCCCAGCAAATTTAACGATAATGGGATTAGAGCCCATTGGCAGAAAGTGCAGGGCCGTATGAATGTTCACTCAGCCTCTGTCTTGTTTATACTTCCACATATTTTTCTTCAAAAGCCTTTCTTTCCCTGCGGGTTTCATTTTTGGCTTTTTGTTCTTTTCATGCCATAAAATGGGAAGTTTTAGGTCCTAGCAAGTCTAAGCAGCCAGATCTAGCACAAAGCTGCAGTTTTGAGTTCTGTGTGGACCATGACAGTGTTCCTACAAAGATTACCAAAAACTGCAGTTCTCCCCCTAAGTTTACAGATGGAAAGAAATTAATTCACCTGCCTTTAGGTGAATCAAGAATTGATGTGTCACAGCTGCCATTGGCAAGATGGCCTGAGAGTTGTGTGGGTGCATCTGGCTGTGAGAGGAATGTCTCTGTGGAAGGACAGCTTGTTCCACCCTCTGATGGGGGCAGCTTCTCAGCTGCCCTACCCTGGTCTTCCTGCAGCTGGACAGATAGCCCAGAAGGCCACGAGGTATGCAGACCCTCCCTGGCCAGCTGCAGCAGTCACTCCTGCCAGCACTCCCTTTCCCCCCGACCATTCACATTTTGCAGTCTAGAGCCCTGTGTGGCACAGGAGGAGAGAGCTGCAGGCAGAAGGAAAACAGGGTGCTGGGATTCCTGCAGCTCGCTGCCAGCTGTCTTCTGTGACATTTTGGGGGTGGGCAGGGGACTGTGGGAGCACCCTCAAGGCTCTGGGCAGGAGGGAAGGAAGCAAAGATGCAGCTGCAGGCAGCGGGCTCTGAGCTGGAGCAGTGCGGCCGGGCACTGTACAGCTCACAGCCTGGGCACACGGAGCAAGTTTGTCCAGCTGCGGGCTGCAGGGCTGTCCTTATCAAGCACTCCCCCATCGCACAGGTCTGCAGTGACTGCAGCAGTTGCTCGAGCTCTTCCCACTGCAGGAGCTCAGAACTGACAAGAACCCTGACCAAAGCAGGTAATGGCAACATACGCACACAGATACACACCTGATACAGAATCTGGCACTTGACAGTCCTCCCTGAGCTTCTTGCTGCTTTTTAGGCTGCTCTACAGCTATTCTGTCCTTTTCCCCCTCATTCCCCTATGTCTTGCCCTTTCCTTCGCCCTGTGCCTTCCCCATTCCTTTTTCAGGCTTTCTCCTTTCTTTCCTCGCTTCCTTCCCTGTGCCTTCCCCCTGTGATGACGCCATGTTCTGCTGCTGTTCTCAGCTGACGATCCTTAAACTGCACTTTTCAAAGACATGGGATCAGGCTGCATACTATCACTGACTTAAAAAACTAAAACAAAAACAAACAAGTGCAGTATTATGTACAGATAACGAACTCCTGCTTCAAAACCAATATCATCTCCACATCCTGGAGTGTCACCATCACCCCCAGGTTGGGCTGGTGCTGCTCATCTGCCCTGCAGTGCTGCTCAAATGGCACCGGCACCTCCTGGCATGGCCTGCCACCTCCCTGTGTCACCTCTACGTGTCACCTCATCTCACCTCTGCAGTTCTAACCCCACACCTCCACCCTATGTCCCCCCATGTCCTCACATGTCCCTGTGTCCCCACACATCCCCTCATGTCTCAAGTCCCCCCACATCCCCTGCCCCAATTCAGTCCATGCTGATGTCACCATGGGATTGAGGAGGGGGGCAGGGATGCCTGTGGGGTGCGTGGAGTCCTGGGACAGGTTGATGGCTGTGCACAGGGGGGTGATGGTGCCCTCGGCGCACGGCTGTGACAGGGGGGTGTGAGTCATTGCCCCCAACATGGGGCTTGTGCCCCATGCATGTGGGCAAGTTGTATGGGGAGTGCTTTCTGGAGATGATCTGTCTTTTCTCCAAATCTGCAGCGACTTCAGCAATCCCGTGTCGTACCGCAGCAGAAATGGGGCACTGCCGTACGTCAGCGATCTCTGACTCAAGCACAGGGGCTGCACGAAGGACACACGCTGCAGCCTCCCTGTTTCTGTGGGGTTTGGGATTGATGTTTGAGCCAAAAGGCCTCATGGTGCCATACAGGCAGGTGCTGGGTTCACCCACTGAGGACGCCAAATCCTAAAATAATGTCACAGCGGTCTTTAATTGCTGTGGGAGGAGATGACGTGCATTTCTCCCTGGGGAGCTGTAAGCTGACCCCACAGTGTGGCAGACAGCACCAAAAAGGGATGCCATCCTGTACTTTCCTACCCTAGTAAATCCTGGTTCTGCTGGTACACCTCTTGTACCTGGAGCTGGCTCTCCATCTGGCTGAGACGTCATCTTTAACACTTCAAAACAAGCCTAAGGAGAGAAGATTTTGGTGATGTGACATGAAAACAGACAGCACAAATATAGACCAGGATAACAGAAGATGTACACGCTGGGTGTTGAATATCATTTGGAAACCAAACCCCAGGTGAGAAGTCTTGTTTTACTTGGTTCATTTTTGCTAATCTCCTGGAAGATCAGGAGGTCAGTAGATGTAAACTAGAGATGCGTCACAGGGATATTCAATCAAGGTGATGCAACACATATCTAATTGTTTTTTCATTATTACAATGACTAATAGATATTAACATGAGAGTGACGCTCTTCCTAGCTTAATATATGTTAACGCTGAATTTGAAACTGGCATACTAATAAATAGGGCTTCTGAAAGAGGCGTGTTCATAAAACCAGGCTTTTGTCTACTTGTTTTTCATTGTAATATCAATATATTGAAACATTTGCACAAGGTCAAGTAATTGTGAGGGGATAAAACAGCACATGAGGTTATAATTACTATGTTAGGTAAAGCAGAGCATTATCAGTCTTCATTGTTGTTTTTTTTTTCTTTCCTTCCAGTTACTTGACAGTCCAGGAAATTTTTCACAGCTGAGCCATTGTGTTTTCTTCAGAAGTTAGAAATAAGATTGGCAGATCCATGTCCGTATTCACCCACGCAGCAAAGTACTGGAAGAACTGCATTATTTCATCCCACTCTTCAGTGAGTTTCTATTATTTACCATGTAAGAACAACTTCTTTGTAATGCCTCCCTTGTAGAAAAATGACATGTTTATCTGTTGCGGCTGAAGATACTAGGTGGGAGCCTGCTCAATATCTTTCTTTGTATTCAATTTGCAGTGTCATTAGGGGACATACAGCACCATGTCTCTTTAACCTTTCTCAGCCACCAACCACTTTTTTTCTTCATGAATTTTCAGTTATTCTCAAAGTATTTGGAGCACATAGTAATGGGAATGTCTGATAGCTTTTTATCCAACGGTTGTTTAACCCATAGTGAAATCACTTGTCTACATGAATGTTGTTACTAGATGATGTTGCATATTAACAGGAGTAAGAGGTAAAAACATGAGTAAAGTGCAAGATATTTCATGATAAAATCAGCAAACACTCCAGGCATAGCAATTATAGCCTGATTATTCTATGGAAACATGGACATATGCATGAAACATCTATATACATGAAACAATTCTATTAAGCATGTTAAAATAACTGAAAGTAAATTTGTCCCAAGAAAACATACGTAACTAAGCTTCTGCTTGGCTTTAAGATGCACACACATTATTTCTCTGACTTGGAAAGACAAGCATGTGTGATACTTTACTGAGTACTGAGTTATTTCAGCTTTCTGGGAGCTGTATACTAATGCTGTGTGGTCAGAAGTCTTCTGAAATGAGGATTTGATACTCCGACATCAGTGAACAGCATAGTGCTACTGATCTGTAACCTCTCAGCAGCAAAATGGAGAAATCCATGTAATCGATTCAGTGTCTGTGAGGAGAAGCAACACCTTTTAATACACCACCTCAGAGTGCTGGAAGAAAAAATAGACAAATTTTATTTTACCTGCTTCATCAAAGTACATACAATGGCATTTGTTTGAGAGAAGAATGAACTCCTTTATATTGCAGATGGAAGGACAGAACCTGCCTGTACAAATCTGCATGAATACATGGCAGAATACCTTAGCCATGAGCAGATAACTCTTTTCTTAAAAGCGCAACTTTTGACACTCTTGACAGCAATACCTGAAACGCAGTTTGTGAGTCTTGGAAAAGGAAGGCAGACGGAAAAAAGACACCATTTAGTCTGGATTTGATTAACATTACTCTGTTGCTTTCAGTTGGTTGCAGAACTTAACTTCTACAATGACAGGGGGCGTCATTGACACTTGACATCATGTCTCTTTGAAATTCTAGGCCCCTTTCAGTCAAATTTGGCAGAGAGGAAAGAGTTTTGAAAATGTTTTGGTTTTGTTTTTTATTTATTTATTGAAGAGGATAATGATCCAGTTGTAGCAATAACATATTTCTATTTGAAAAGTGAGTCCTAGTGGTATTCCCCAAGATCTATTTTTGAGCGTTTTTCAGACTTCACATATAGGAACTTCCTACCAGGTCAGTGACAGGTGAACACAGCTCCAACAGATAGCTGATCTCTGTGAAGGATAAAATGCACACAAGGCATGCGATTCTGAAGTTCAAAGGAGATTTCAAATGGTTGTATTTCAGTATGCTTAAATAATGTTCTACCTATTCTGCACTTCCTTAGAAAAATTTAAAATCTATTTTTCAGTAATTATCTTTTTTTCATTTAAGAAGACCTTCCAATAATTCATAAGCTTTACCTTCATTATCCCGTGTTCATTTTTATAGTTCCTCATTGCAGAAAACTGATGTGGCCCAATTTCACTAGCCATGACAACACTGAGCAGACACATCCGTGCTAATAGACACGGCCACAAAGGGGTGCAGAGTTCAGTTGACAGCTACATCCTAGCACAATAATGGTAATCAGGATACTGTAGGAACAAAGTAGTTATCTCCAAATTGTACAAGGTATCAGCACTTTTTCCTAACTTCTAAAGCCTCCTCCTACTTCTGTTTACATTGCCTGACCTCTGTGAATTTGACAACTACTGCCACTACCCACACACACACATACAAAAGGGTAATCAGATGACTGTACTAGGCTTGTGAGATTTCTAATAATGTCTCTTACCCATTCTCCAGGGAAACCAAAGGCTTCCTGATGTGTTGGATCTGGTTTACATATCAGGCCCTCTTTTTGCCTCGGAAGGTTGTCACCCAGATCAACAGCCCTTCTTTTTTGTCTTGATAGAGGAGCTCACAATATCGGAGACAGGTTGACTATCTAAGGTGACCCTCCAGCCTCTTTCTCTTCCTTTGATATCTCAGAAAAAATGTGTAATTTATATTTGCATTAAAAGACAATTTTTCATTTTTTGTATCATCAATAGCACTGGGACTTAGCATTACCTTTTGGGCTTTTGATGACCTAGAGTATAAAGATATCTTTCCTTCAAGTATTTCTGATGTACAGTCAAATCAAATATTTTCCTTTGAGCTGTTTTAAAAGAGTTTGGCAGCATTGAATGGTTTTTGGTACTAAATCCAGTTCTTTGATCTTCCTCCAACATTACCTAATTCTGTTTATAGTTGTTGTGTTGAAGTGGAAAGAACTGACTTGTGGATAAGACAAAGCAGTACTCCCCTAGCATCTGATTCACCAACTGCTCTTGCATACATGCAGTTTCTCCAAAGGCGATAAAGGATTACATATTTTCTATGGATATTTTCTATGAGAATTCTTTTTTTGCCTTTGAATATACAAAATCTGAACATCCATGCTGCTTGTGATTTCATGCTCCTTCTGAAAATTCTTGCTTTTTTCCAGACAAGAAAACGTATATTTGTGTGATCCGTGTTTTCTTATTTTTAGATAAAGTGATGACCGTTAGTCTGCTCAGTAAGACTGACATTCACTACCTAATTTTTCCATAAGAGTGCAATCCTTATTCTTGAGATGTAGTTAATATAGCAAGGCTAGAAATGATGGAAGCCACACCGAGCTTGGTCTCTACTTTAAAGGTATCATTTTAAATCATATGTATTGAAAGTGAAAATTTCTGTAAGCTAGTTGAGCTGATTTTGATAGCATATGTTTAAAGCGTTGATCTGAATGATCTTTTGTAAAATCTGGTGATATTCAGAAGGCAGACACCTTTGAAGTCTATAGAACAATATCACTCAGTTATACCAGTACACCATGTGGATTAATATCCACATTTGCTCATGTTACTCATCCTTTTAACTGAAGGTTGGGTTTCATTATATTATTGAAGTTAAGGGAAATAAAGTAAAATTGATTTTCAAATGGATTCTAAGATTTCATTTGTGTTTTTAATCCCTCTTTAGAGGAAGACATCATGTCAAGTGATGCAGTTTTACACAGTAGATTGAGGCCATGATCTTGGCTTTATAAACAAATACAGCAACAGTGGTAGTGAGAATCCATGATTTTATTTTCATGCAGCTTGAATGGTCTTTTCGTACTTTTATTTAATTATTATTACTATTCATTTTTATCATTTTTATTTATTTATTTATTTTAATTTATGCAAGTTCTGAAAATAATCAACTGCTTTTCCTTGGCCAAAACAAAACACCATGAGGTTTCCCTCAGGTGGCCGTGGCCTCTTAATTGTTTGTTACTACTAGTGGCTTCTTCTCTACTAATCAATTTGTAGATGACCTGTTGAAGAATAATGAGGTTCCTTCGTTGAGTGAAGTATCAGAATATTAGTAAAAAGGTGTCTGTAGTAAATATTTTTCATATTTGCATTAAAGATCATAATACAAACAGATTTCTGAGATGGACATATACTGAAGTCACTTGGAAGCAGACACACAAACAGAACAACCAAGCTTAAACAACCAACTCAGCCCTCCCAAAACCCCCTGTCCCACCCCCCCCCCCCCCCACACACAAAAACACAACAACAACAACCAAACAAAAACTAAAGCAACAGCCATACAGATAGACAAACAAAAATAAAAACAAAAACAAAAAAAAGAAAGAAAAAAGAAACGAAGAACAAGAAAAAAAACACACAATGGAAACTGCGAAAAAGACAATGAGAGATACAGAATGATGGGGAAGAAAACTGTCAGCAATACCTGGAGACAGTATCTTCTGGAACTAACAACGCAAAGGCAGATATACATATGCAATAATAACACCAAAAACAAGATCACTACTGCATTATAATTCATAAGCCATTCTCTTCTCTGAGGCAGTTCTTTTGTTTATTACATAATCCTGGAATGCAATGAAATAGCAAGTATCAACTAGTAACAGTGTTACACTATCTCCAGCTCTAAAATTAGACTCCTTCTCTGGTTTGGACTAACGGGCTTACAGCAGGTCAGAAAAAGACTTGTGTAAATACTAAGGACAGAGAACTTTCTAAAAAGTAAGCAGCTAATCAGCAGTATTTAACCTGTAGGAAAAAAAATTTATATGCTTTTCTGTGCTTTGACTAATCATAGAAATATTTATAAGGCCCCATCCACACAGAATTCAGAGATTTACAGTACAAGGTAGTAAGAATCCCAGATGAATTTTTGTCCTTTTCTCAGAGCTGAAGTTAGAAAAGCACTGGACTGGGCTCCCCAGGGAGGTGGTTGAGTCACCGTCCCTGGATGCTTTAAAATCCGTTTGGATGCGGTGCTCAGGAACATGATTTAGCAGAGGGTTGTTAGAGCAAAAGTAGTGTGGTTAGGTTATGGTTGGATTTGATGATTTTTAAGGTCTTTTCCAACCTGAGTGATTCTATGAGTGTAAGTGAGAAGACGACCTGCCAGAAATCACAAAACATGCATAGAAATTGTCTGTAGCTCTGCCAAGGGTTGAAGCCTAGCAAGAAACCTTTTTTAGCGTCTTTGAACTATTTCTGAAAACTTTCTGAATTCTGCCTCTCCTCCATTCTTTACATAGCTACAATGTATTAGCCAGCTATAATTATCTCAAATTTCTTTTTGTACTGTTTGTAATTGCTACAGTTTTCCAGAGCACTTTGTGTATCAAACCTAAGTAGATAATCCTCACTGTAAGGGGCTATGAGTCCTTTCCATTTTGATTGGAGAAGGTAAAGCCATGGAGATATTTTATTTAATTTATGATTATCAATTTATGATCAGATATGATACAAACTATGGAACACTTGCAAAGCTTTGCTTTCTGTGCTTTGATTGCTTCTGCATTTGCCTAAACTCTCTATCCTTATTACTCTAGTTTTCCAACCAAATATGTGATAATCTCCAAGAAATACCAGTTTTCTTGATAATAACTTACATTTTCTCCAAAAAATACAGACTTAAACTGCTCAATAGGACATTTTCCGCCAAAAATAGGATACATTCTCCCCAAAGGAACAGTTTTCTCTCATGCATATTCCATTTCCTCCCAGAAATACCACATTTCAACCCTAAAGACCACATTTGCATCCAAAATAGTTTGGATATTTTCTCCCAGAAACACCAGCTTTATCCCAACTCTAAGACATCTTGGACCAGAAATACCACTTTTCTCTCCCTAATATTACTGTTTCCTCCAAAAATAGATCTTCTTCCAGACTTATCGGCATTCTCTCAAACAGATGACATTTCCCCCCAGAAAGAAGACGTTTTCTCCCTGAAATACCAGCTTTCAAAGGAATACCTCCAATTTCCTCCCTAGTAGACTACTTTGCACACCTTCATATGACACTTACTCCCAACAATACGGCATTTATCACAGAAATGCCACTTGACTCCCAAATGTGGGACATTTCCTGCC